CACTGAGACATTTAAAGTATCGATAGAGCGACACTGAGACATTTAAAGTAACGATAGAGCGACACTGAGACATTTAAAGTAACGATAGAGCGACACTGAGACATTTAAAGTATCGATAGAGCGACACTGAGACAATTAAAGTAACGATAGAGCGACACTGAGACATTTAAAGTAACGATAGAGCGACACTGAGACATTTAAAGTATCGATAGAGCGACACTGAGACATTTAAAGTAACGATAGAGCGACACTGAGACATTTAAAGTATCGATAGAGCGACACTGAGACAATTAAAGTAACGATAGAGCGACACTGAGACATTTAAAGTAACGATAGAGCCACACTGAGACATTTAAAGTATCGATAGAGCGACACTGAGACATTTAAAGTATCGATAGAGCGACACTGAGACATTTAAAGTAACGATAGAGCGACACTGAGACATTTAAAGTATCGATAGAGCGACACTGAGACATTTAAAGTAACGATAGAGCGACACTGAGACATTTAAAGTATCGATAGAGCGACACTGAGACATTTAAAGTAACGATAGAGCCACACTGAGACATTTAAAGTAACGATAGAGCGACACTGAGACATTTAAAGTATCGATAGAGCGACACTGAGACATTTAAAGTAACGATAGAGCGACACTGAGACATTTAAAGTATCGATAGAGCGACACTGAGACATTTAAAGTACCGATAGAGCGACACTGAGACATTTAAAGTATCGATAGAGCGACACTGAGACATTTAAAGTAACGATAGAGCGACACTGAGACATTTAAAGTATCGATAGAGCGACACTGAGACATTTAAAGCAACGATAGAGCGACAATGAGACATTTAAAGTATCGATAGAGCGACACTGAGACATTTAAAGTATCGATAGATCGACACTGAGACATTTAAAGTATCGATAGAGCGACACTGAGACATTTAAAGTATCGATAGAGCGACACTGAGACAATTAAAGTAACGATAGAGCGACACTGAGACATTTAAAGTAACGATAGAGCGACACTGAGACATTTAAAGTAACGATAGAGCCACACTGAGACATTTAAAGTAACGATAGAGCGACACTGAGGCATTTAAAGTATCGATAGAGCCACACTGAGACATTTAAAGTAACGATAGAGCGACACTGAGACATTTAAAGTAACGATAGAGCGACACTGAGACATTTAAAGTATCGATAGAGCGACACTGAGACATTTAAAGTAACGATAGAGCGACATTGAGACAATTAAAGTAACGATAGAGCGACACTGAGACAATTAAAGTAACGATAGAGCGACACTGAGACATTTAAAGTAACGATAGAGCCACACTGAGACATTTAAAGTACCGATAGAGCGACACTGAGACATTTAAAGTAACGATAGAGCGACACTGAGACATTTAAAGTAACGATAGAGCCACACTGAGACATTTAAAGTAACGATAGAGCCACACTGAGACATTTAAAGTATCGATAGAGCGACACTGAGACATTTAAAGTAACGATAGAGCCACACTGAGACATTTAAAGTAACGATAGAGCCACACTGAGACATTTAAAGTAACGATAGAGCCACACTGAGACATTTAAAGTAACGATAGAGCGACACTGAGACATTTAAAGTATCGATAGAGCGACACTGAGACATTTAAAGTATCGATAGAGCGACACTGAGACATTTAAAGTAACGATAGAGCGACACTGAGACATTTAAAGTATCGATAGAGCGACACTGAGACATTTAAAGTAACGATAGAGCGACACTGAGACATTTAAAGTAACGATAGAGCGACACTGAGACATTTAAAGTTACGATAGAGCGACACTGAGACATTTAAAGTATCGATAGAGCGACACTGAGACATTTAAAGTATCGATAGAGCGACACTGAGACATTTAAAGTAACGATAGAGCGACACTGAGACATTTAAAGTATCGATAGAGCGACACTGAGACATTTAAAGTAACGATAGAGCGACACTGAGACATTTAAAGTAACGATAGAGCGACACTGAGACATTTAAAGTAACGATAGAGCGACACTGAGACATTTAAAGTATCGATAGAGCGACACTGAGACATTTAAAGTATCGATAGAGCGACACTGAGACATTTAAAGTAACGATAGAACGACACTGAGACATTTAAAGTATCGATAGAGCGACACTGAGACATTTAAAGTATCGATAGAGCGACACTGAGACATTTAAAGTATCGATAGAGCGACACTGAGACATTTAAAGTAACGATAGAGCGACACTGAGACATTTAAAGTAACGATAGAGCGACACTGAGACATTTAAAGTAACGATAGAGCGACACTGAGACATTTAAAGTAACGATAGAGCGACACTGAGTCATTTAAAGTAACGATAGAGTGACACTGAGACATTTAAAGTATCGATAGAGCGACACTGAGACATTTAAAGTAACGATAGAGCGACACTGAGACAATTAAAGTTACAAATTGGGTTGCACTTTATTTTAAGGTGTCATTGTTACAGTGCAATTATATATTTAAGTACTGAGTAATATTAATGTACTTACTATAGGGTTAGGGTAGGATTTTTATTTGCATGTAATTATGCATAATTTACTCTTATTACTATGGTAAGTACATGTAACACATGTAACAAGGACACTGTAAAATAAAGTGTTACCAAAAATTGTGAAGTCAGAACCAGGACTCAAATTCAGACTTGAGGCTTATGTTATGACCATCGATATTAAAATGAATGATTCTGTTTACATCAAACTTGCTCGCAGCTGATGTTATACACATATAACTGTTATACACATATAATATCAGCTTCAAGCATGTTTGGTTATTAGTTATTTTGTTTGTGTACGAGAAGAAAGTTGGCGTGACACCATGCATCTTTGCTCCAGAGGGAGAATGGTTACGTCAGCTGGCGATGAAAAGAAGAAAAATTGATACAGCCAGATGTGGCCGACAACTGCACGCACAGCAAGACACACACTGCAAGACACACACTGCTTGCACACACTGCAAGACACACACTGCAAGACACACACTGCAAGACACACACTGCAAGACATGAGTGAGGGAAGGAGAGAAAAGCAGACGCGTTTTGAGGTTGTCAGAGTTGTGTCGTGACAGCAGCTTATTAGAGCTCTCACATGTAAACCACACACTTCCAGACACACACACACACACACACACACAGAGCTTAAGATGACAAGAGTAGTGTCCGTTTCTGATTTAAACACGAGCGTAACAAACAGGCCCTTCAGCTGTGAAATATCTGATCTGGAGCTCGGAGAGTTTTAACTCACTGCTGATCCAATCCAGTTTCTATCTTGAAGGAAGAAATGAAACTGCTTCCTTTATAGAAATTGATTTTGAAAGGTGAAGTGTGTCATTAAACAGAAAAATCAAACAAATACAGTTTCAACCTTCCACTGTCATATTAGGCGGTATTTTAAACCCTAAAAATGACACACATTACATTTAAACCATAAATTAAATTAATAATTTGAGTGGACAAATATCCACCATCTCAAATAAAGCCTATTACTACAGACTAACTCAAAGAATTCAATGGTATTTAGGTCATTTATTAACCTCTCTGGTGCTTTTCAATCACTTTAGAGCAAAAAAAGAGAAAGAAAATGTTTTAATTGTTTGTTTTTTGCACTTCATCTGAATGTACGACACTTGAGAACATTTGCTATGTGAACACACACAAAATTTCTGGGCATGATTCGAAAAGGTTAAATGTTCCTTAAAAAATAGTCAAACATAACCATAGAAATTTATAATAATAATAATAGTTTGAGGCCAAATTAGCCTTGAAAATGAGTAGTTTAACCCTTTGCTGCTCGTCGTTTAGGGGTCACACACTCGCACTCCTCACGCTCAAAAGTGGCCAAACCACAAACATATGTCATTTCTTCTCCGCAGTATGATATATTTTTGTTGAATAATATATTTTATTTAATATTTTGCATTTTGAGGGAATGTTAGGGTACTAAGTAATATCTATGCAATAATTGTGATCTATCCCCCCACACAAGTTTTACAATACAATACAGTTATTTAGTCCATATCATTTTTTTCTAATAAATAAATGAAAAAAAAAGAAGAAAAAAAAAGAAAAAAGGTGAATATAAAATGCACAGATTTTTTTTAGGCTACAATCTACAAATCAGCTAAGATGCAAAAAAACAAACAAACAGCAATGTTAATTGAAAAATAATTATGAAAATAAATAAATAATAATTTGTATTGTATTGTAAAAATTGTGGGGGGGAAATAGATCATAATTATTGCATAGATATTTAGTACCCTAACATTCCCTCAAAATTCAAAATAATAAATAAAAAATATTATTCAACAAAAATATATACGGTAACACTTTACTTAAAGTCCTTCTGTATTATAAAAGTATTTTTTAATGCAGTGATTATGCCTTGTAATGCAGCTTATAATCCATTGTATGATTGTATTGTCATTGTATTATGACTCTAATTGTAACCACAGTTATAATAATACTAATCTATTCATTGAACACACCTTTACAAAGTATAATGCATTAAAACATGACAAACAAGCAATTTCAGAGTCGGCAAATATTATAATGGATTTGAACTTTGGTTATAAATAATTATTAATGAAAAAATATAACCTATTACAATGTACATTATAAATACCTTTATAATGTATTATTAAACATTATGGCTTTAAGTAAAGTGTTACCAAATAGATTATACTGGGAGAAAAAAAAGTTTGACCGGGAGGAGTGTGTGTGACCGCTAAATTATTTAGTCCATCGAATTTTTCTCTCTCTATTTTTCCATTAACCCCATCATTGCTGTGTGTCTGATTTGTAGATTGTAACCATAAAAAAAAATCTGTGCATTTTATATTTACATTTTTAAAATTTTCCCTAAATGAGGAGCGGCAAAGGGTTAAACATCGTCTTTCCAAGGCAAATTTGTCCCTGAAGCCGGTCTTCACACGCTCGGGCTGATCCGCTGTCTGTGTTTCAGGTGTTCTGGAGATCAGGACGGTTTCTGAGGGAGGCGTGTTGGCCATAAAAGGCCTGAAGAGCCAGTATTATATTTCCATGAACCGAACCGGAATGTTACAGGGCAAAGTAAAACCCATCCGTCCTGCAAACACATCTCTTAATCTGATTCCAGCTAATGCATTCTCATGCTTTTAAGAGTAAATATAGCAACTTTTACAGCGAATTAAGGTCGTGTCGTTCCTGTTCTCTCCTTTCCCGAACAGAAAGACTACAACGACAGCTGCAACTTCAAAGAAGTGTTTTTAGAGAACTACTACACAGCGTACGCTTCTGTCAGAAAGACCAAAGACGGAAAAGAGATGTTCATCGCTCTGTCGAAAAACGGCCGGCCGCTGAAAGGAAAGAAGACGCGGAGAGAGAGCATCACTTCTCACTTCATCCCTCGCAAGTGCCGGGAAGACGAGAAGACACTGGCGTGAAGATGCATGCGAGATCACTGTCAGTGTGAAGCATGTTTTATATCACTGTAAACCCTAACGCTCAAAACAATGAATTGGTTTGAGTAGAGCCAACTCAAATTAGTTCCATCAAATTAACTTTTATGAGTATTTAGAACTTTCTTTTTCTTTTGAGTTCACAAACTGACACATTTTAAGTAAGAGTTTTGAGTTTTATGATCTGGTTTATTTTAATTTAGATAAACTTAAGTTTAACTGAAACTGGGATGGGATTTCCCAGCATGCTTTATCATGACATTCAAAAGGGAGAGTAAATGCTAAAATTAGGTGTTATATAATGCTTTATATGTGCCAAATTAATGTTCAGTGGGAGATTTAGTAATGTTTAATGTTTTATTGTGCTAGTTTAGTAGAGTTATGTTGTGTTTTTAACATATATTTGTTTGTATATTGCTGTACTCACTCAGCAAGTGCTCTGCTATCATAGCATTGTGTTGCCATTTAGCAATGTAGCATTTATTGAATTAGCTGGTTAAAAAAGCTAGCCAAGTTTCCACGACTAAAAATATAAGTTGAGCGTACGTGATAAATTTAAGTTGTGTATGAATTACCTTACTCAAATATTTCAAGTTAAGAGCAATTCAAATGTACGAGTATGAAATAAAATTCTGCAAGTTCTGCTTGCTTAAACGTTAAATTAGTCAACTTAAAACATTTGATTACCTCAAATTATTTGTTTTGCCAACTTAATCGGGTTTACAGTGCAATAAAACAGTCATGCTCTCTTTCTTTCTTTGCCGAGGAGACGTTGGTGAAACGCCACCAGCACTGGGTTTATATATGAAAATGTTTTGGACTCATGTAAACAACAGCTATAAATACTCATCTGTGTTTTGAGATAAAAGTATTTTTATATTTTTTAGAGGGTCTATGTTTCTGTTCACCGCACTTTCACGACCATTAGAGCCATTAAGAGTGAAAGCATCGAATAAACACTGCAATGCATTTATATGAACGATCGACATTCATCCGGAGGAGTTTTGCTTTTCATTTAGAAACATTCCATTCTTGTATTCATTTCAATGAGAAAATCAGTTCCCTCATTTAATTGTTGGCATTATTTGCTTTCTAAAAAATGACATGTGTGATTGACTCATTCTAAGAAATCACATGTTTGTCTTCACAATCTTCCATTACTCATTCATAAATGACTTTCCTTTTCATTATTGATCAGCCTTTATATAGAGACACTTTCATTAGTCAAACACATTAAGCTGAAATGGCTTTGACATGTGAGTCTGAGTGTATAATTTCCACACAATCCCTCCGTGTTTTAATGTGATTGTGTCCATGTGTCGTTGTGTGTTATTTATGATATTTATATATATATATATGTGTCGCTGGCTCTAAAATAATCAACTGTATTCCGGATCGCTGTGCTGAAAAAACTTGCACAGAAGATCGCAGGAGTTTATTTTTTGCTGCTAGAATACTAAGTGAAATCTGAGGTTTTATATGATTATAGATCAATCTCAATAAAATATGTATGTACCTTTCTATGGAGTGGCGTGATCTGAGATCTGAGATGTTCCCCTTCATCCGTTCAGATGATCAGCTGTACTGCGTTTATCTTATTTCCTGTCACACCGGCTGGGAGAAAAATAATCATAAGAAATTAAGTTACAGAACACTGATCATCATAATGGTGATGTCAAACAAACCACCGTGATCGACAGAGACTTTTTTGTTTATTTCACAGTAAAAATCAGTGTTTTACATAAGAAAAAACAATAATTATGACATACTAATTTGAAATTATGACATAAAACAGACAATGTTTTTAGATAAAATGTAAAAATTATGACAAAAACTCAATTCCGATGTTTTCTCATAACTTCAACTGTTTAATCTCATATTTATGACTTAGTAATACCATTTCTAATTTTGTATGTCAAATGTCATAATTTCAACTTTGTTATATTTATGACTGTCATCATTTAGATTTTTAATTATTATTTACAAAAGCATTATTTTTTTCTTTCTAATAATCGGTACTCTGCGATTTCATCTCTCGAATCACGATACACTCTCACTCACACAGTACAATAAATTACACTCTAATCAATACTTAATTGTCATATAGATTTGCTAAGTATAGTGTTGCTCAGTCCTCAGTGTTTGTGTACATGTTGTTTCTTGTGGATGTATTTTATCTTGATCGATGGAGTCAGTTAGAGAAGCTCGAGAGATTGAGCAAAACATGATTCCCGCGAGGTGAACGAGAGACCCACACAAACACTCACACACCCTCCTCTGACCTAAACACAGTTAAAGTAAGGTGAGCCCTTCTGCCAAGTCACGCAAAGTTGGTTTTAGCGTATAATTTATAACATGTTCTGAATGTAAACAGACTCTCACGGGCCTCACACTAAAAATGACATCATTGATTTATCAAACAAAAGGGTTGCTTCGCATCCATCTGGACCTTTACAATCAGTGTGTTTCATCAGAATTACTTGTCATTCCATGAAAATGTCCTAATCATTTGTCCTGTACCTCTTTGATAAAGTGTCTCGGATTCATCTGGCGTTTGTTTGTTAGTTTGTTGGTCGAAAGCCTTCAGCACATAACATGAGTTCAGCATGTTTGAGTCCAAATAAAATCAAAAGACTGAGCGATTCTGGCAGTGTAATCTGTGGACACGTCTATTGAGTTTTATCAAAGCTTTGAATCTGAGCTAAGACCTGATAAAGTCTAAAACAACACAAAGATTGAACACATATGGGCGAATCCATCGAGACTGTGACCGGCTCACGATTTAACATCGAAAGAAAAAACCCATTATATTCGGCCAAAACAAAAATTAAGCCTATTTTTAGGCTCATTGCATTGAGCTGTCAGATAATTACTGTTTCAGATAATAATGCAGATGAAGAAAATGTATTCCACTTCACATGATTATACATACTTTAGACATGTATAAACATTTAATTAACCCGTTAATGATTTAATAAATCCATTATAATCAGGGAAATTAAAAAGGAAAATAATTTGGGTAAAAATAAATGGGATTTCATATTTTTCGTACAAGGATCAGAGCGGTTTCTACTCCAGAGGGCGCCGACTGCCATTTCTGCACAGGTTTGCTTGTTTAAGTCATTATCAAGGACTAGTATCTGAGGTCATCACTAGAAAATGCTTTCAAGTCCCCCTGTAGTCAATCATTTTATCCCTTAAAACTCATCTTTGATCCCCAAAATGACGTATTTAAAATATTTCCTTGAAAAAAAATTTCTTCATGTCTTAAAATATCTTGAATGTAACTCGACACCCTCACCTCATTAAGTATGCGTGGTTCTATGAATATGCGAATGAGCCCCGCCTCCACTCACTCACTCAGCTCAGAGATCCACTGGTTGACGATCACACGTTGATCTGATTGGTTACAAGGTCGTTTGTGACGTCAGAAACACCAGCGATTTCAAACCGTGTTTTTGAGACTGTCTTTGGTTCACTGCAGTTTTAAGCAGAAAATACTCAGCAATGCTGTCGACTTATGAACTTACACATGGTGTGTCTTAAAGCATATTAATAACACCACATAGACATATAAACAACATTTAAAGGTCCCGTTCTTCGCGATTCCATTTTTCAAACTTTAATTAGTGTGTAATGTTGCTGTTAGAGCATAAATAATACCTGTAAAATTATAAAGCTCAAAGTTCAATGCCTAGCGAGATATTTTATTTAACAGAAGTCTCCTTTCAAAGCATACAGCGAACGGCCGGTTTGGACTACATCCCTCTACTTCCTTTTTTAATGACGTAACTAGAACAGTTTTTTTGACTAATCTCTGCCCACAGGAATACAAAAAAAAAGGGGGCGTGGTCTTGTTGCGCTCCACGGAGAAGAAGCACTTCAGCTGCGCATGCATCTCCAATTTATGGTAAGAGGCGTGACCTTTCCGGGCAACGTGCGATAAGCTGCTGTCGAATCACAACACAGGAACCGCTGGCACAATCAGAACTCGTTACGTGTTTCTGAAGGAGGGACTTCATAGAACAAGGAAGTCATCGGGCCGTTTTTTGGACAGTGAAAACAGAGGTATACAGATAAGTAAATTGTGTGAAAAATACTGTTTTTTTACACGCGAAACATGAACACATGTTATATTGCACACTGTAAACACAATCAAAGCTTCAAAAAAACATGAAGAACGGGACCTTTAACGCTGGATTTTCACCACAGGGCCGAGCTGCTGTGAGTGAGTGGAGGCGGGGCTCATTTGCATATTCATAGAACCGCTTATACTAAATGAGGCAAGGGTGTCGAGTTACATTCAAGATATGAAGAATATTCTTTCCAAAGAAAAAACTTTTAAATGTCATTTTGGTGATCAAAGATGAGTTTTAAGGGATACAATTATTGACTACAGGGGGACTTTAACAACTGACTGTCATTAATCATTTAAGAATAGTAATAAAATCTGATGCTGACATCAGAAAAGTTCAGCTTCATCATACCTGAGTGAACAGAAGAATCATCCATGCCGTTCTTCTGTGCTTTCCTTTGTCTGCGGCTGAGACAATGATCAAAACCTCTGTAACGGATCCACAGATGGACAGAGAAACATTAATATCAGACGTTCAGAGAGGCGACAGAAAAATAATAATTCTGTGTGTCATTAATAATCAGTCTGATGAAGTGCTGGTAGATCTCAGTTTAATGGCATTTTATTAATTCTCTTTAAAGTCGCCCTGTGGTGAAAAACCAGCTTTAGTTTATGTGTCTATGTGGTATTTTTAATATGCTTTAAGACAAACCATGTGTAAATTCATAAGTCGACAGCATTGCTGAGTATTTTCTGCTTAAAGGTGCAGTGTGTGATTTTTAGCGACATCTAGAGGTTCGGTTGCGAGTTTGCACTAAGGGCTCCGCCCACTGCTCACCCCTCCCTTTCGAAGAAGCTACGGTGGCTCAAACGGGACAAACATATAGTCGTCTGAGACAGCAGAGAATGGGCTATATGCACGCATAACTTCCGCGTTTGATGCAAGGATGCTCTTGCATTTCCGGTTGGGGAGATTTTAAGGGGAGGAAAACGGGATTATAGCAGAGTCTTCAAAATTTACTGTCCTCTCGTCTTTGAAACGAAACTTTAATACGTTTAGATGTAATTTTATATATAGTTATGTTTATTTAATATAATAAACAAAGAAGCATAAACAAAACGAGGAGTGTCTGTTTTGTCTGTTTTTGTGACTAACGTTTCTTTAGTATAGCAATAGAGTATAAAAACCAATATAAATTCTCGGTATAGCATTGGACTCTACGATCGGCGGAAGTAATCCAGCATCCTTAGACCTTCACCGGAAATACCGCCGTGCATAGAGCCCATAGCCAGAGTAAGCCAAGAGTGTGTAACACTGTCAATGTTTCTGTGCCACAGTCCATTATAAACCACATCATGATAAAGTTTACAAAGCCATAGTCAGGTGAGGATCAAGGGTCTTAATATATAATATAATATAATAATAGTAATCAGCTGATTGTCTCACAAACGTAACCAGCACATTTATCCCCACATAGCAAAGCCATAACACAGCGAGGGAGAAGAACTAAGTTACATGAAACAATCCAACTACATATTTTACTTGGATTACACCACTGACAAGGGAAAAGTCACTACTCACTGTGTCTATGGCTAGCTTCTAGCTTTCTGCGGCTTCTCTTTCAATGTAGTGACGAAACGCGCTCTGTAGCGCTGTGTGTTCGCGTTCGGCTACGGTAGAAACATGACGTCACAATATGTCGACCTTCATAAAAGGGGGTGCCCGCGGTTATGGAGAAATAAACGCCTCATTCTAAGGTAATAAAAACATTACGGTTTATTAAGTAAGTTCTTTATACACCACTGAACACATAGTTATGGATGTCATATTGCATTTCTGTTAATAGATACTCAAAAATTTTACACATTGCACCTTTAAAACTGCAGTGAACCAAAGACAGTTTAAAAAACACGGTTTGAAATCGCTGGTGTTTCTGACGTCACAAACGACCTTGTAACCAATCAGATCAACGTGTGATCGTCAACCAGTGGATCTCTGAGCTGAGCGAGTGAGTGGAGGCGGGGCTCATTTGCATATTTAGACAACCGCACATACTAAATGAGGTGAGGGTGTCGAGTTACATTCAAGATACTTTAAGACATGAACATTTTTTAAACATTTAAATATGTAATTTTGGTGATAAAAGATGAGACAAAATTATTGACTACAGGGGAAAAAATAAAGGTTCTTTATCGGCACTGATGGTTTCATAAAAAATATTTAACATCCATGGAATCTTTCAATTGCACAAAAGGTCTTTGCACTAAAAAGAAATGATCACTGAAACGTTCTTTGGGAAACCAAAAATAGTTGGCATCGCTGCAACAACAAAAAAAAGCGGGTTTTTTTATTGAGGTTGATGGGATTTATCTCTGTATCTGTGATGGAGTCAAGAGGATCTTGTATCATTCGACTCACATCAGTGTGTTATTGTCTTCATCTGAATCTGCTGAGACTAGCCAAGCAGCCTCAATCATCCTCACCACAAACAGATGCTGACAAACTAAACGTATTAAATGTTAACGGTTCGTTTACTCTCTGCCAAATGATCGGTGCGGAGTCAGACTGTGTGAAGTTTAAGCAGACGTTTCCACACAGACGGCCGGAGCTCCAGATTCTCGGGAAAAAAACGAGTTCTGGAGATTCAGTTTAATCCAGAGCCTCTGCAGGTCTTTTTGCAGGGATTCAGACGGAAAAGGGACTCTGGCTTTGAGATCGTCATATATTTCTCCAGAGTGACGGTAGAGATGTGAGGAAGACTCGTCCAGATTCTCCTCACACGTCACTGGCCAATCAACCTGAAACAAATGGTGTATTAAATCAAACATGCTTTGGCACAAATTTCATAACAATTTTGAATTTTCCACAAAAAAAACTACTTTTTCAAACTCCTCCTAGACAAGGAAATTGGACCAGATCATCTTCAGAACATGCTGACAAAAAGTTATGAAATTTAAGTTGATTTGTCAAACCGTTCTTGAATAACGCACAAACGAATCGCACGCCAAGATGAACGTGAGGCTATATCTCCACAACACTTTAACGTATTCAGACCAAACTTGGTGTGTGTTTTGACAACCATGACCTGAGGCGACCTGCACAGTTTCGACACAGTGCCACCTAGTGGTCAGGAAATATGAAAAATGTACATTTTTGCTTATAACTTCTGAACCGTTAGGACCAATAGATCCAGTCGAACGATACCCAATTTTCCTGTATCGGTCATTTTGAATTTTGTTATAAAATGATATTTTTAATGAACACAAACGGTATAGGAGGAGCTTGAAAAAGTAGTTTTTTTTTAAAGAAAAACAAAATGACGAACAGGAAGTTCAGCCGACTATGGGAAAATTGGTATCTATGTTCTCGGCATGACCCAGAACGATATGGCGCGCTAGTGTGGACACTAATATAGTTATCATTCTTGGTGTGAACGGGCCTTAATTTACAATGGCTTCAAACGCGACTCAACCAACCAGAATCAAGGACCGGAAGTTTATGTTTTATTATACACAGTAAAGCACTGTAAATGTATAGAATATTAAATAAGATAAAGTAGATCTCAAAAACTCATGATAATATCACATTTCTTCCCAAAATCTAAAGAGGGTTTTATTTTTTTTAATATATATATTTAAAATAGGCCTATTTTTTTAAGACCAATATGTTTTGCACTGTGATATTATTTTCATGAAAATGCATCATACAATATAAAACTAGCCTAAGTTATAGGAACAAACACTACCATGACGTATACATACTTTGCATAACTTTATATAATTTTTTTTTTAATGTGAGGTCCATCATACTTTAAATTAATATAAATATAATAATTTATAATTATGTCCTGTCCATTTTCTAAAAAAAGGGTTTAAAGGCTGAAATGTGAGGTTTATCATATTATAAAAGTTTATACTTATCAAAACATGTATTATTTAAATTGTAAAGTTGTTTATATGGTCGTTTTTACAGTCATTTTACCCGCCAAAATGATATTTAATTTAAATGTCAGGTCTTTAATTTCTTAAATTAGATTTTAAAAGCCCTGCAGATATTGTGACTAATGATTGCACTTTACTGGGCCTGTCACAGACAAAACTGGGACAAACACGACCAAAAGCTGGTTAGTGTACAGTGCATCAATGTCTTACTGTAAATGAAATAGAGTTTCGGAGTTCACAAGCAGGTTAACACACACTCTTTCCATTTTATCATCGCAAATAACACATATTTAACTCGACTGACAGAACTAGGAAATGAAAAACAAATTAAATAGCCTATTAATTAAATAGATTAAAAACACGGTATATATATATATATATATATATATATATATATATATATATATATATATATATATATATATATATATATATATTAATTTTGAACAACTGTGGACTTGTTTAGACTCACCACAGAAGTTTTGGCGCGATTTCGTGAGAAGTTTTGGCGCGAATTCGTTATCCAGTAATGACACACACATACATACATACATACATACATACATACATACATAACTATAGTTAGCTTAGCTGCTTTATTCTGCTAAATGGTCATTTGAACCCACCAGTCCTTGAGCTTGAATAAAATCACCCAGGGAGCAAATATTCTTCTTATTCGTCTGTTTCTCCATGATCTCAAACAAATAACAGTCTGTTGCTAGGCAACCGCCCGCCGCTCTTCCGACTTCCTCGAGGCGTGTGTTTCCGGTGCGCAGTGAACACGTGGGATTGTTGTCATCTGTTTTACAGTGTGGAGTGTGTGGACGTGATCATGTCGGATCAGGACTGTGCTGCCGGGGACAAAAGCTCTCTGAGCGGCCTGATGCTCGCGTCGCACGCCCCGCTGGATGACGCGCAGCGCGCGGGCCGGATGAAGTGCTCGCGTTGCGGAGCGTCGCGCATGTTTTACTGCTACAGCTGCTGCGCGTTGGTCGGGCTGGAGCCGCGGGACGTTCCGAGCGTCAAGGTCCGTGAAACATCACATTAAACAGCACGCGCTCGCATTATTATCATCACACATAACTCGGTTAGCATGACTTTAAGTAATCAAATTGTAACTGTGATCATTTAAAGGAACAATTAAACCAAACGTGTCAATTCTGTCATCATTTGCACACCATCATGTCGCTCCAAACCTGTATCATATGACTGATGCTAAAATGACAAAAAACAAGAATCTGAAATTTAAGTCATATGAAAGTCAAATTTACCAGAATTTAAAGTCACCATGAAATCAGAATTGACCGTTCTTATTTTTTTATGGAATATTGCATTGCAAATTATTTATCGGTGCACATCATTATTGTGTTAATAATCTTGAATCAGAATAACTTCCTCTTGCAGCATCTCTTCTCTTCTCTGATGACGGGGGCGGGGCTATAACCTGTCACTCACATGAGATCAGCCAATAGCAAACCACAACCATCCAATCAATTCCTCACGGACAAAATCAAGCCCCGCCCACATTTGTTCTTGTTCCATTGGTTCTTGTATGAGCTGAATTTTTGTTTTGTTTTCTTTCTTTGTACTCCTCTTATTTTTGTGTCATTTAGTGATTGTGAAACACTTTGGGCAACAGCTTTTGCATTAAATGTGCTATATAAATTTAAATGTGCAAAAATGTAGCTGTTATGAGGTTAATTTATAGACCGAGCCAATTCTTCATGATTGAATTAACTGTGTTTTACATTTTGGAATTACGAGTAAAATAAGGTTTGTGGTGAACATTACTGGAAGACTTCGACATAAAAGTTACTCAAATCTAAAACCCACAGGAAACTCATGGCCGCCAAACACTCATTCCTTGCATAGTTTTAGGAATAGAAAATGATTTGAGAGTCAGTCCCTCATATGAATCGACATCTCCTTTCACGGTCCACGGAAAAAGAAATATAAAATTAATCGCATTGTGTGTTTGTTAAATTGACCTATTATGCCCCTTTTCACAAGATGTTATATAAATCTATGGTGTCTCCAGAATGTGTCTGTAAATTTTCAGCTCAAAATCCCCCCAGATAATTTATCATAGCTTGTCAAACTTGCCCCTTTTTGGGTGTGAACAAAAAGTCACGTTTTTGTGTCTCTTTAAATGCAAATTAGCCTTAGCTCCGCCTCCATTCAGAAGAGGGCGGAGCCTTTACACGAGCTTCAGAGACTCCGGCAATAAAAACACAGGCCAATCTCACTGATCCAGAGTCAGGAGTAACAGCAGCGAGTGCAGCCTTACGGAGAGACTCAGGGAGAGCTTCACTTTTACACGTTTCTGAATGTTAGCGGAGATGTTTCTGTAGTTGTTGTGGAGTTACACTGATCATCTCCTCATCATGTTGAACTCTTCCACAAGAGTCCACAGTTCCTGAGGTGTTTATAAGACAGCGCTGACATGTACTGGTTTCACTGTTAGAACTGGTTTCACTGTTAGAACTGGTTTTACTGTTAGAACTGGTTTCACTGTTAGGTTAGAACTGGTTTTACTGTTAGAACTGGTTTCACTGTTAGAACTGGTTTTTAGAACTGGTTTCACTGTTAGAACTGGTTTTACTGTTAGAACTGGTTTCACTGTTAGAACTGGTTTCACTGTTAGAACTGGTTTTTAGAACTGGTTTCACTGTTAGAACTGGTTTTACTGTTAGAACTGGTTTCACTGTTAGAACTGGTTTCACTGTTAGAACTGGTTTCACTGTTAGAACTGGTTTTACTGTTAGAACTGGTTTCACTGTTAGAACTGGTTTCACTGTTAGAACTGGTTTTACTGTTAGAACTGGTTTCACTGTTAGAACTAGTTTTACTGTTAGAACTGGTTTCACTGTTAGAACTGGTTTCACTGTTAGAACTGGTCGCTGTTAGAACTGGTTTCACTGTCAGAACTGGTTTCACTGTTAGAACTGGTCACTGTTAGAACTGGTTTCACTGTTAGAACTGGTCACTGTTAGAACTGGTTTCACTGTTAGAACTGGTTTCACTGTCACTGTAAGAACTGGTTTCACTGTTAGAACTGGTTTCACTGTTAGAACTGGTCACTGTTAGAACTGGTTTCACTGTTAGAACTGGTTTCACTGTTAGAACTGTTAGAACTGGTTTCACTGTTAGAACTGGTTTCACTGTTAGAACTGGTTTCACTGTTAGAACTGGTTTCACTGTTAGAACTGGTTTCACTGTTAGAACTGGTCACTGTTAGAACTGGTCACTGTTAGAACTGGTTTCACTGTTAGAACTGGTTTCACTGTCACTGTAAGAACTGGTTTTACTGTTAGAACTGGTTTCACTGTCACTGTAAGAACTGGTTTCACTGTTAGAACTGGTTTCACTGTTAGAACTGGTTTCACTGTTAGAACTGGTTTCACTGTTAGAACTGGTCACTGTTAGAACTGGTTTCACTGTTAGAACTGGTCACTGTTAGAACTGGTTTCACTGTCACTGTAAGAACTGGTTTTACTGTTAGAACTGGTTTCACTGTCACTGTTAGAACTGGTTTCACTGTTAGAACTGGTTTCACTGTTAGAACTGGTCACTGTTAGAACTGGTTTCACTGTTAGAACTGGTCACTGTTAGAACTGGTTTCACTGTTAGAACTGGTCACTGTTAGAACTGGTTTCACTGTTAGAACTGGTTTCACTGTTAGAACTGGTTTCACTGTTAGAACTGGTTTCACTGTTAGAACTGGTCACTGTTAGAACTGGTTTCACTGTTAGAACTGGTCACTGTTAGAACTGGTTTCACTGTTAGAACTGGTCACTGTTAGAACTGGTTTCACTGTTAGAACTGGTTTCACTGTTAGAACTGGTTTCACTGTTAGAAACTGGTTTCACTGTTAGAACTGGTCACTGTTAGAACTGGTTTCACTGTTAGAACTGGTTTCACTGTTGTCGTGTGTGTAAACGAGCAGATTAAGGGCCTGTAATAATATAATAAGATCCTCTTGCTACATCAGAATCTGATCGGTTTATTTTTTGACATGCTTGCAGAGAAAGGCTTACGAAACAAAGTTACTGGGTTTCACTTTCCACGTTTTCAGGGTTGGTAGAAGCACCAGGGACTCGTTTATAGCACTTAAACACGGGAAAAGTCAGATGTTCATGATATGTCCCCCTTTAAAGCTCATGAAACATTTGTCTGGTGTTTTCAGCTGCCGGTGAAGATCGACATCATCAAACACCCGAACGAAACGGACGGCAAGAGCACGGCAATTCAGGCCAGAATCCTCGCGCCGCAAGACGTCACCATCTACACATATCCCTGCATCCCCGAGCTGGACCAGAGCGCAGAAAACGTGAGCGAAACTATGAACAAGCATTAATATCTCGGTAATTTTCTAAATTATACCTGTTTCATGGTATATGACGGTAGGTTTTTTCCAAGCATGACGTGTTAACCACGTTTTCTACTGATTGAGTAGTTTTACAGATCCCGGTTCTTCCCACAGATCGTGCTGGTGTTTCCCGGACCGGATGCGATGACGGTGGAGGAATTATGGGAGTATTTTTCTGCCGGTGGAGCGCAGAGATCGAAGAGATTAAAGGCGGCGGCTTCTGAAACTCACACCTGCCCGATCCAGAGAGTGGTTTTCATCGACAGCACCTGGAACCAAACCACCAGAATCATCACAGATGAACGTCTCCAAGGTGCCAGCAGATTCCCTCTCATCTTTAGCGCTTTCACACTTTAAACATTTACATTTATTCATTTAGCTGACGCTTTTATCCAAAGCGACTTACAATTGCTATATATGTCAGAGGTCGCACGCCTCTGGAGCAACTAGGGGTTAAGTGTCTTGCTCAGGGACACATTGGTGTCTTAAAGTCAATCTTTTTATCCCTTAAAACAATCCAAAATGAAATATTTAAATAAAAAAAATTCCTTGAAGAAATATTCTTCATGCCTTAAAATATCTTGAATGTAACTCGACACCCTCGCCTCATTTAGTATGCGTGGTTCTATGAATATGCAAATGAGCCCCGCCTCCACTCACTCCCTCAGCTCAGAGATCCACTGGTTGACGATCACACGCTGATCTGATTGGTTACAAGGTCGTTTGTGACGTCAAAAACACCAGCGATTTCAAACCGTGTTTTTAATATGCTTTAAGACAAACCAGGTGTAAATTCATATTAAAACACCACATTAAAAACACGGTTTGAAATCGCTGGTGTTTCTGACGTCACAAACGACCTTGTAACCAATCAGATCAACGTGTGATCGTCAACCAGTGGATCTCTGAGCTGAGTGAGTGAGTGGAGGCGGGGCTCATTTGCATATTCATAGAACCACGCATACTAAATGAGGCAAGGGTGTCGAGTTACATTCAAGCTATTTTAAGGCATGAATAATATTTTTGCTAGGGAAAAAATTCATTTTGGTGATCAAAGATGAGTTATAAGGGATAAAATGATTGACTACAGGGGGACTTTAAAAGGACAATAATTTTATTATGTACTTCTAAATTACAAGAGTGAAGCGTTCCTTCACCCGAGGTTATAAGAGGGGTTTAAGAACGGCGCAGTGTGAAAATCCCTTTAGCATGTGTCTGTGTGTCTCAGACGTGCCGTTATGAATGTTATTTCTCTGCAGCTTTACCACACGTGGAGCTCAAGAGCAGAAGAACCTGTTTTTGGCGGCGTCAGAAAGGCAGTCCGGACACATACCTGGCCACGATAGAGGCCGTTTACTACTTTCTGAAGGACTTGCACAGCCACTACTTCTCCGAGTACACGGGAGAATACGACAACCTGCTGTTCTTCTTCTCATTCCTGCACAAACTCATCAATAAAGCCAAACAGGCTGCTGGGAAAGTGTGAAACAAACAAACAACCACGATTATTTGAATGCGATGGATGCATTTTGTCACAGTGAGATTTAAGTATTTTTTATTTACAAGTCAAAGGCCGCATGCATATTCCCAGAATGCTGAAACATTCACTGATTGGATTTCTAAGGCACTTTAATGTGTGTTTGACAATAAATGATTTCTTGCACTCTCGTTAGTAAAAGGCGTCTCTTATTTTGGCCTGTAAACTGTCGCAGGTCTTCTTGGCGTCTCCCAGGAGCATGGAGGTGTTGGGCTTGTAGAAAATGGGGTTATCGACCGCAGCGTATCCCACACCCAAAGTGCGCTTCATCACGATCACCTGCACACACACACACACACACACACACACACACGCTTAGGCCATGTCCACAGACTAAGGATACGTTTACACGACAACGATACGCTTAAAACGACCCCATTGTCAAGACGATCCCCATTCACACAGATTTACGACTAGAATCACTGTATTCTGCTGCCAGGCCACTAGATGGCGATGCAACACTTTAGACTGAACACGTAATACGCATGTGCATGACGCCATCGTCTTCAGAGATTCACGTTTTTGTTGTTTACACGGAGACCATTTTCAAAAACTTGTAACACGGTTTCAAAAGTGCGTTTTCAGCAGTGTTGGGCAAGTTACTTTTAAAAAGTAATTAGTTACAGTTACTAGTTACTACTTCCAAAAAGTAACTAAATTAGTTACTCAGTTACAAATTTTAAAAGTAACTAGTTACTTAAGAAAGTAACTATTGCGTTACTTTCAAGTAAAATTAAATTTTAAATGCTCAAATGTGACCCCACCTCTACCCCTCTTTAACGGAACTTACAATACATGTGCATGTTCAATTATTTATGATAAATCTGAATATTATAATGAAATGGACACTTAATACAATACATTATTAACAGAAACATGAAACATTGTACACACATCTAAAAAAAAAAAGTTGCTGTGGGACAAAGTGAGACTAGCCTCCAATCAAATGCCATGTAGATATTATGTTTATATAGTGGATCAATGCAAATAACACAATAGATGTTTTGGAACTTTTGATATTTATTGCCCCTCAACAGGCCACAACTGGGCAAAATTAAATTAAGCTTGTTAAGCTCGTCGCCATACCTGTCTCTCGTCGACTGACTGGCTTGCTTGTGTTGTTCATTGTGTGTCCTGTCCTGTCCGACTATGCGTTATGATGGGTCGTTCGCAATTCATGAGCGTTAGCCGTTAGTGATGATGGGTCGACTCGTTCGCGAATGAGCTTTTGGTGGGTCGTTCGCGATTCGCGAATGAGGCGACTCTAAGAGCCATATCTCGCATATCTGAAGAGCCGACTCTATTTTTACAAATTTAGCCTATAGAAATTAAATAATTATGTAAAAAAAAATATATATATTATAGTCAAAGTCATTTAAAGAGCCGTTTGTGAGCCAAAAGAGCCGGCTCTTTTCAGTGAGCTGAGTCAAAAGTGCCGAATGCCTACTACTATGCGTGCTTTCGAACACCCGCCCAACTCTACCTCTGATTGGCTTACAATGACATTTTACTCTACCTCAGCCAATCGTCAGCATTTATGCGCTTGTCTCGTGCTCTGCCCACTAACCAAGGAAGAACAGTAAAAAAAGTATTTGCCTCTCGCTCAGAGATCTAGTTGGTCTGATGAAAAAAACCCCCCCAGCTGCATCAGTTATAGTAACGCGCCGCATTTTTTGGCAGTAACGGGAACGGCGTTATTAAGATGAGAAGAGTAATCAATTAGATTACTCGTTACTGGAAAAAGTAATGCCGTTAGTTACGCCGTTATTCCCATCACTGGTTTTCAGGCACCCAAACACTTGTCATGTTAACGAACGGCTAAAACACATAAAAAGTTTTGCGTTTTTGGTTGAAAACGGTGTCGTGTAAACAGACCCTAATACGTTTTAGTTTGAAAACGCATCTTTTTGTCTCCGTTTAGGCCTTCCGTCACTGTAGCTATGTTTCCATCCACACGTTTTTATCCGCATTATGTAATATCGAATGAAAAATTCCTTATGGAAACAGTAAAATTCGATTGAATTTCATGAATATCGACTCAAATGAAATACGATCGGTCTCATCGGATTTTATCTTGATCGATATACGGCTTATGCGATAAACGCGGACGCCTAGTAAAACTTTGTTGGCAAATGTTGGCTTGAATGTTGTGCAATTCGCTGAGAAAATGAATGGAAACACCTTAACATGTCTCAAATCAATTCGATATACCAATTTGATCGCAGAACAGCCTGTGACGTCATTACGCACAGGTTTTTATCCGCTTTAAAGCCGTTTGATGGAAACACACTTTCACCAGCTTTATTCGCATGAGGTTTTTTACCGAACTTCAGATAATTCGATTGGCAAGTGGATGGAAACATGGCTAATGAGACAGCGTTTTTATTAATGAAAGCGCCATTTCCGTGACTGTCAGAACGGAGGCATTTAAAAACGATGACGTAAGTTTAGTCATGTGATGCATTTTGTACCAATATATATTCATGTTTATACTGGTTAGGGCTGTCACTTTACGTTCGAAAATCGATTGCACAATCGATCGGACCAACCAACACAAGTTTCGAAAACGAAAATAGGGAATCAATTTTAACGGCCTTTTTTTTTCTTTTTCTTTTTTTTTTTTAACAAAAATGTGTTTTAGGTGGACAGATCAATACAGTACACAGAACATGTAGGATGCTGGAAATTGTGTTAACCAAATGCTTTTTAATATTCGCTATTACTTCAATGCAAGTGAACAAACTTCAAGTAAGCCAGAAATGTGCAAATTCTGCGCAATACGCTGTATTTAATATATCATGAGGACTATTTGGGCTAAATCCGCGCAGATTTGGCTTACACAAACTTCCCCAGCAAAGTGAGTAAATATAGAAACACGCCAAATTGGCTCGTGATTTGACAGCGTTTCCCGCCAAAGTTCATTTTTACCCGCATTTGGCGGGTTGGAGGGTGTTAATCTCAATCCCTGAATGCTGCACTTATGTCTCAAAAATCGAACAGGATTTTTTCCACAAAAGTAACAGCCCTTATACCGGTGTTGTGCCTGTTATGTGCTATTCACTTCCACACAGTTGCTGAAGTATGTTACTTCGCACACTCTTCATATCACAGTCCTGCAAAGATGACAGAAAATGTACTCGTATTTGCTGTCCTGTGGTAATTAAAAAAAACATTTTAGCAGTTGCGTTTTAGACCAAACATATAATGGTGAGTGAGAGCGACCTGGACGATCAGTGAATGCTAAGATATTTTGCTATATAAAATTATCCTGCCAGAAGAACTGTGCGATAACTTTATTATTTAATTTTCCATCATCTCAGTGAGCTTCTGTGAGGTTTTGCGCAGTAAAGGTGAATTTAGCGTTTTCCGATGTTTCAGTGGCTACGTTTACATGCACAACTTTTGTTTCAATCGGACTGAATTCAATGGTGAATCTGAATGTGGTGTTTACATGAACGCTGAACATGTGATCGGGTTGATGTGTGCGTTTATATGTCACAAGATTAAATCGGAACATATTTTTTGACATGCGCACACTGCATGAAAATACAGTTTCTCGATGTTTGCGCATAATAACCATTCTCATACATTGGTTTTTATTTGTTTTAAACGGTAGACTTAATATTTATCCATTTCTTGTCATAATTTGGAGACAAATTTCTACGTAATTTCTACTTCATTATGCTATTTTACGCTATTTCTACGTCATTACGATATTTCTACGTCATTATGCTATTTACACTATTTTTACGTCATTACGCGATTTCTACGTCATTACGCTATTTCTACGTCATTACGCTATTTTTACGCTATTTCTACGTCAATACGCTATTTTAAGTTTTTTTCTACATCATTACGCGATTTCTACGTCATTACGCTATTTTACGCTATTTCTACTTCATTACGCTATTTTAAGTTTTTTTCTACACCATTACGCGATTTCTACGTCATTGCGCTATTTCTACATCATTATGCTATTTTACACTATTTCTACGTCATTACGCTATTTCTACATCATTATGCCATTTTACGCTATTTCTACATCATTACGCCATTTTACGCTATTTCTACGTCATTACGCTATCATTACGCTATCTTACGCTTTTTCTACATCATTACGCTATTTTAAGCTATTTCTACGTCATTGCGCTATTTTACGTTATTTCTACATTACGCTATTTTACGATATTTCTACGTCATTACGCTATTTCTACATCATTATGCCATTTTACGCTATTTCTACATCTTTACGCTATTTCTACGTCATTACGTTATCATAACGCTATTTTACGCTTTTTCTACATCATTACGCTATTTTACGCTATTTCTACATCATTACGCCATTTTACGCTATTTCTACGTCATTACGTTATCATAACGCCATTTTACCCTATTTCTACATGATTACGCTATTTTACGCTATTTCTACGTCATTACGCTATCATTACGCTATTTCTACGTCATTACGCTATTTTACGCTTTTTCCACGTCATTATGAGATTTCTATGTCATTACGCTATTTTACGTTATTTCTACATTACGCTATTTTACGCTATTTCTACGTCATTGCAGTCCTTTCAGTTTCGATTTCAATCCGATCAAGTGTTTACATGTTCTCTCGGAACGAACAGGAATAAACACCTCTTTCAATCCGATCGACATTTCGTTCGGGTCGAGCTCAATCGGATCGATTAAGCCGTTTACATAAAGGCTTCAGTGCGATTGAGTCGTCAGTCCGATTACTTACGGATTATTTGGTTGCATGTAAACATAACCAGTGTGGATGAGAAACCTTTGGAAAACGCTAGTGTGGACATTTTGTGTTTTCAAATGTAGACGTAGACCTCCTTCACACGGCTGCTGTTCAATCTGTGTAATCAATAATCACCTGCTTTGACTTCCACACTTCCAGCACCGGCATCCCAGCGATTATAGAGTTCGGATCTTCTTGCGCTGCGGAGTTGACGGTGTCATTGGCTCCGATCACGAGCGCCAGGTCAGTTTCTGCACACACACACACACACACACACACACACACACACACAGAACAATAAGACGGTCGTTCTCATGCGATGCGATCAGGTTTCTCCCTTGCTCTACATGCTTATCTGCGCCGGCTAAATAAAAACACGTGCTGCCCTCGACTCTGACCGCAGAGACGCCATGAGGTTGCATGTCTAGGCACAATTACATAATTAAAATGAATTATTACAAAGATCAGACTCCACATGTGTCCGCGCTGCCAAAGTCTGTGGATCATCGGCTCATCCGTCTGTTCCGGACAGATCCGAGACATGTTTCACACCGCATGCGTAAACAACACACTGACAGCACAGTCAATCGGGCTAACTCGCTCACTACCTCATATTTAATGGAAATCAATGGCCATAAAAATTTACTTTGGCTATTTAACATAACACTATTACTACTATAAAAAGATAATTCAGCAAGGACGCATGAAATTGATCAAAAGTGACATTTATAATGTTACAAAAGATTCTATTTGGAAAAAATGCTGTTCTTTTGAACTTTTTATTCATCAAAGAATCCTGAAAAATAAAATGTATGATGGTTTACACAGAAGTCTGAGGCAGCACAACTGTTTTCAACACTGATAATAATCATAGATGTTTCTTGAGCATCAGATCCTCATATTAGAGTGATTTCTGAAGGATCATGTGACACTGAAGAGTGGAGTGATGATGCTGAAAATTCAGCTTTGATCACAGGAATAAATGACACTTTACTGTATATTCACATAGAAAACAGTTATTTTAAATTCGAATAATATTTTGTGATTTTTACTGTATTTTTAATGAAATAAATTCAGGTTTTATCACAGGAATAAATTACATTTTTAATATATTCACATAGAAAACAGCCATTTTAAATTCTAATAATATTTTGTGATTTTTACTGAAATAAATTCAGGTTTTATCACAGGAATAAAATACATTTTTCAATATATTCACATGGAAAACAGCCGTTTTAAATTGTAATAATATTTCACAATTTTGACTGTATTTTTGATCAAATATTAAAAGTCTTATCAACCCAACACTAGTGTAGATAAATACTAAAGGTGATTTAAGATGATATTAATTATTAGGCAAGAGTTCAGAGTTGATGTAAAAGTCAGATCAGTTCTTTAAATACAATTTTTAAGTATTTAAGCCATTCATTTACACATTTGATTACTGTAAATAAACTAGATGAGGAAAACTGAGCGTGCCGTGATGCAACACAGAAGCAGTTTGCAAATTGGCTCTTCTGATCAACATGCTATTAAATTCTAGGGACAAGTGTTGCAAATTAGCTTTAGCTACAAGCACTATGATGCACGCACTGGCTGGCTGTTGTCACAGGTGTATCTGTGTTTATTATATCTGTCCCTATACAAATAAAACATTAAATAAATAAATAAATCTGACCTGGGAAATCATCGTTGATCTCGTCCATCTCTAGAACCACGTCGTACGGGACGCCGGCCTCGGCCAAGAGCACATTGAGCTGTCCGGGCATCCGTCCGGCCACCGGGTGAATCCCAAACCTGACACACACACACACACACACACACACACACACACACACACACACACACACACACACACACACACACACACACACACACACACACACACACACACACACACACACACACACACACACACACACACACACACACACACACACACACACAGAGAGAGATGATACTCAACTACTGCAGAATATGAGCTTTATAAATCACAACAATTCAACATGAAACTGTTCGACAGCAGAGCAAGTGGGAGTTCATTCGTTTACACTTACTATAGTAAAAAACACTGCAAAAATGATGATGTTCTTCAGTATTTACGTTTTGTTTTCCAGCACAAATATCTAAACATTCTTAAATCAAGATACATTTACTGGAGAAGCAAAATAACCGAAGATATTAAGTCTTGCTGTCTGAAAACTTGCTCAAAATGAAGTGAGTTTGTGCTTAAAACAAGAACTAATATCTGCCAATGAGGTCAGAAATATAATCGTAATTCAGTAAATAACACAATTCTTTATTTATTGTCCATCTGCAGATTTTTGTTCTAGTTTTAAGCAAAAAAATGATAAATTTTACAAGTTATTTTGCTTTAAGAATGTTTATTTGTACTGGAAACCAAGACAAAAATACTAAGAAAGATTGTTATTTTTTTGCATAATGCATAATTACATGACTAACTATAATTATATCGTAAGTGCATGTTGTTAATTAATATTACTCAGAACTTATTAGTATAAATACACTCTAACAAAAGCACCTGAAAATAAAGCGTAAGCGTTTATTCTCCAGCATCTGCGGTGTAAATACTCTGAGAATGTTTTACACTTTCCCTCTTTATTTACAGAAAGCCTGCGTTTTTACCAGCGTTTCTTTATTAGACACAGATGTGTTTTGTCTCCTTTTTAACAGAATTACGCTGCTGACCTGCCAAGTATTTAAGACATTGAAAACATTGGATGTGTGAGAGTTCAGCATGCGATTATTATGATGTTCTCGCTGATTTAAGAGTTCGCGAGAGTTGAGCGTCTGACCTCACAGTCTTGCCCTGTTCCTTCAACATCTTCACCATGTCAGCGATGGGATACTGAGCCTTGGCCGCGCACAAACCCCAGCCTGTCCGAGAGAACACACACACACACACAGGTTAGACATCAGAAAATAATTAATATTCAACAATGGTCCTTACCTACTATAGTACGGGCATATTTGTTCTTCTTTTAACTCACAAAACAGATTCATAACACTAACCCGACCCCTAAACCTACACACACACACACACACACACACACACACACACACACACACACACACACACACACACACACACACACACACACACTAACCCGACCCCTAAACCTGCACACACACACACACACACACACACACTAACCCGACCCCTAAACCTGCACACACACACACACACACACTCTCACACTAACCCGACCCCTAAACCTGCCCATCACACACACACACACACACACACACACACACACTAAGCCGACCCCTAAACTATCACACTCACACACACACACTCACACACAAAAGAAATACTGTTCAGTGTAAAGATGTGCTGCTCACATTCACTGTTGTTCTTTGGGTGAAATCCAGTTAATTTAAATTCAATTCAATTCACATTTATTTGTATAAAACACATCGTTTCAAAGCAGCTTTGAAAATGCAGAAAATGCATGAGTCCATATCACAATATAGAGTGATCTGTTATCAGAGGAGACTGTCTAAGCTATGCATTTCAGAAATGAAATCACAAATTAATGTAAACAATGTAATAATTTAAGGCAGAAACAATGAGCTCATTGAAGTGATGAATACTTGTGACATTTAGACAAATGTAGCATTAGTGATTCAGAGTCACATTTACTCTGAGGTTTGGCTTATACCTAATAAATATTTAATTACAAACAAAGTTAACGGGGTTTCATTCAAAATTTTACATAGAATTTGTTTAAATTTGTGACATTTAAAAGTGACATTGATTTTAATTGCACACTTTGTGACAGTTACCCTGAAACTGGTTCATTTTATCATTTGTTAGACCATTTTAGCAAAATGTTTGTAAATTGATCACAAAGAACATTGATGGCCAATTTGTGTTGTTTTGGAAACATTTATTATTTATTTATTATTATCACAGTCTATATATTATATAATGAATTGTATACTTTTAATGGCAAAATTCTGTTCACAAATGTACATTTTCCGGTAAAAACCCTGTTTTACGTCATTTAAGAAAGAAATTGAGCTTTATATCGACTCAATTGACCGTTCGCAAAGACCCGCCCCCCTTAGTTACTGTCGCTATGTCCGACAAGCTACGCTGCTCTCACACACACACACACACACACACCATGTTCTCACGCAGTGAAAAACACATCGCGGACTGACAACACGCTGACAGACAGGACAGACCAGGTTACTTTTCGGTTACTTTTGATATTAAACAACATATTAAACAAAGTCTCACCTTTCAAATTTGGTCATTTTTTTAAAGAAATTTAAACAATAAATACCGTTTTGTGGCTCTTTAATGTGTCGTGACAGATCGCTGTAGAGCCTCAGTTAAAGCTGCTCGTGATCCGATCATCTCTTCCTTCTAGTTCATTTATAGCATCAAATAAACATGAATGAACATCAGAAGGAATGTTGTTTTAGCCGCAGAAAGGCGTCAGTACACTCCGCTTCTCAAGTTCAAATCCTCCCATGTTAATCTACTAACTGCTAACTCTCCTGACTGCTTTGTCAGACAAAATGGCGGATGGCGAAGTATGATTGGTCAGATCACCTGTCAATCAAGCTCCCTGCAAAGGGTCAATTCGATTTTCTATGAAGCAAAAGCAGTTAAAACTTTGAAAATGTGTAAATCTTTCAATGTCTTGATGTAGATCTACATGCAAGTGTGCAACTCTGTTACATGTGTTGTATTTTTATGTACTACCATATTCTTCTTTTTTGTTAATAAAAACAAATGGGGGAAAACACACACACACACACACACACACGCACACGCACTTCATGTGAGTTATTAATCTTCTGTCATGGAGGAATCCCATAAACCCCTTCACTTGATGTTTCAAGATCCACATTTGCTTCAGGTTTCCTGTTAATAACTGCAGGAGCGTGGAGAATCGTGTCATCAGCCGTGTGTGTGTGTGTGTGTGTGTGGACTCTCAGGGAAATCCGTCTGATTGCAGTCAGATTGCAGAGTTTCCTGAACTCCAGATGTCTCCCTACAGGAGGATCGCGTGTGGACTGGAGACACGCACACATGTTTCGGCTGCTCCACATCAGGCTCTGCTCCACATGTTTCTCACACTTCTGTCTCTGAGCGAGCGAAGACTTAGCTAACGACCTCTAGCTAACGAACTCTAGCTAACGGACTCTAGCTAACGACCTCTAGCTAACGACCTCTAGCTAACGACCTCTAGCTAACGACCTCTAGCTAACGAACTCTAGCTAACGAACTCTAGCTAACGAACTCTAGCTAACGAACTCTAGCTAACGAACTTTAGCTAACGACCTCTAGCTAACGACCTCTAGCTAACGACCTCTAGCTAACGACCTCTAGCTAACGACCTCTAGCTAACGAACTCTAGCTAACGAACTCTAGCTAACGACCTCTAGCTAACGACCTCTAGCTAACGAACTCTAGCTAACGACCTCTAGCTAACGACCTCTAGCTAACGAACTCTAGCTAACGACCTCTAGCTAACGAACTCTAGCTAACGACCTCTAGCTAACGAACTCTAGCTAACGAACTCTAGCTAACGACCTCTAGCTAACGACCTCTAGCTAACGACCTCTAGCTAACGACCTCTAGCTAACGAACTCTAGCTAACGAACTCTAGCTAACGACCTCTAGCTAACGAACTCTAGCTAACGAACTCTAGCTAACGAACTCTAGCTAACGAACTCTAGCTAACGAACTCTAGCTAACGAACTCTAGCTAACGACCTCTAGCTAACGACCTCTAGCTAACGAACTCTAGCTAACGACCTCTAGCTAACGACCTCTAGCTAACGACCTCTAG